TACTAGTCGTGTTTCCTCAGAAATTGTTCTTGCCTCGCCTGTGTTCTCGGAGAAAACCTACGTTGACCTGTGGGTAGTGCTTGAAAGGTTCCTGGTAGTGGTTCTTTTCGAAAAGTTCTCTGCACTCAGATATGTGCAAAGGCACTTTCAGGTATGTTAGTTTTACCTCTCGGCATATGCCTCCGTTTAGGTATGAAAATGAACTATGCTGCATGAGCCGATTGTGTTGGTAAGCGGAAATTGTCCTTTGAGGAGTGGGGGCGCTTGTGGGCTCGTCCGCATATTTAATCTCTTTCAGATTTTGCCTGTTTGCTGCTGTCGCACATCAGGAAGCTCATAAGTGTTCGCGTCGCGACGAAGGCAGACCACCGTATCACCTCGGTCTCGTTGACATGACTATTCGATTTATTTGGATCGTTTTCTGCATCTTGGTGCTTTTCGTGTTCACGTTATGAATGGAGTTTCGGTTCGCCCTTCTCGCTCGTACTGTTTTCTCGTTTCTGGCTGACCTGGTGTGGCAGCAGCGAGGAGGCTCTTCGACTGCTCTTAACGTAGCTGCCCTGGAGAGCCAGGGTCGGAATACGTGGGCAATGGTTCCTGAACAGACGGCTTGATTGTCGTGAGCAAAGCTGCACTTCCACTGAAACACTTTGATTCGGTATGTTCTTGATTCGCAAAAACTTACCGTCTTGATAAAGCTTGACCTGAATTTGATTTATTGCAGAGAAAAGCCTGTTCAGATTGATCAGAACTGACTCTCCGTCTGCGCGCTTTTCTAAAACTTATCTGTGAATTCTAGAAGTGCTCTAAGGGATGGGGCAACACTCGTCCTAGCTGACCCTCGCCCTTCATGCCGTAATCCCTTGTTTAATGATCATGAAATGAAGAGTGGGAGTATTTTTAGTAAGAATAATCCTAATTTTCTCCAAAGTTGCCGTAGGTTTGGGGAGAAGGCGCTCTCTACGGGGACCTGTAGCCGAGCGCTTCAGTAAAGTTGCAAGGAAAAGGGCTCTGACATGCTCTAATAAATAACTTTGCATGGCCATGACAAGTGAAGCAGCCAGGCTAAGTGAAATTGGACGGATTTATACAAAAGAACTTAAGCACCGTTCGTGTGCACTGTATCTACACGTCCTTGGACAAGCGCGTGTGCTGATTTCGTACAATGGTGAGTGACTAGAATAAATGCAGCCGATAGCTCCTACACTGCTCCCTGTTTGCCGAAGAAATTTTGTCCTTTGTGGTGGCACATCTCCTAGTGGCATGGAAACCCCATTTCGTGAGTCCCACATTTTGACTTTAAATGTATGCGTTCTCGCAAAACGATCGGCTCCCATGGGATACTCAATAGAGCAACCTGATGTCAGCTAGGCATGCTGCCGAACTTCGGAATAACCCCGTCTGGAAGCCCACGTTGACGTGATTGAACGATGCGTGGTTGCCAATTTCTGAGCGTTCTGGCGATCACGTGGGCGGCCACTGATTTTTATCAAGTGGTTTGCACATGCCTCTTTCAGGTTGCAGTTCCAGCCACGCTGAGCATCCATCCCACCAGTTCTGGGCTTTTCCGCGAAGCGGTATGCATCTCAAAAACAGGTATCTGCTGAAGAGCACAGGGCTACTCGCTTGTTGTAAAACAATGAAGATTTTTGATGCTGCGAATATTGATGTTGCTTAGTTCATTTGACTTCGCACCTCATGAACACTGAGGTCAAAATTTGCCCTTCTTCTAATTTAAGATTTCCCAGGTGGTGGAGGGGGCTTGAAAGGCGGAGGTCCCTCATCTTCGCTGTCATCATCAGGGCCCCCTCCCCCTGACCCCGTGGCGGAATCCTCCGAAGGGCCTCCCAAACCGCGTCCCTGACCGGAGTCACCCCCAGGAGGACCTCCTCCTTGGCCTCCAGAATCAGACAATGGACCTCGACCTCTACCTCGACCTCTGCCGCGACCTCCTCCGCTTTTACTGCGGAAGCCGCCTCGCCTTCGGAGTCCTCCAGGACCTTTATGGGGTCCTGATGGAGGTAGAGGCCCCTGTTCATAACCAGGCCCAGTAAGAGAGCCTCCTGGGCCACCAAGACGGGTAGGGGGAGGCGGAGGTCCACCTCCTCGCTTCTTGACGGTGAAATTACGACCTCTACCGCCTCCACCTGAAGGGCCTGGAGTGCCAGGGGAACCTTCAGGCGGCCCTGCACCGAGGGGGTCTGAGGGACCATAATCGCTTGTTGATTGAAGCGGGTCAGTTGGACCTTGGCCAAGCGGAATACCACGGGGCAATGGAACTGGAGGCTTGCCGGATGGCTTGGTGGGGTCGTCGTTGCCTGGTCCTTGAGGCCCACCAGGAGATCCTCGAAGGCCGTGTGTGCGGGGTGGTGGAACTGGAGGATCTCCTCCGGGGCCTCCCGGACCACCTGCCCCTGCACCTTCCGTCGGAGTTTCTGAGGGAGAGGATTCTTCGAAAAGACTGATTCCGGGAAGGAGCGCGCTTCGCTGTTCTAACGCCTGTTTACGGTCGAGAGACGCTCCACGCGACAAACGCAGCTGGAGGCAGAGTGAAGCCTGTGGCGCTAGGACAAGCCATGTTGCGACCGCACAAAGGACCCACTGGCTCCTGTATCCCGTCATCTTGGAGACGGTGTATGCACACCTCGGGAGGGAGTCGGGCGCCGAAGCTGTTGCAACCGCGAGGAACCTCCAGTTCCGATATGTACGTCTCTGGAAAAAAAGACAACCAACAAATTTATTGAGAAGGCCTCTTTTGCATCATAGGGGCGAAGGCCTCGAGGCGCTAGCCAATATTCCCTTTTGTGGAACTTCACGGCGAGCGAGGCGCCGCTCGTGTCCGGAGTGCGGCGCGAACCACACAGAGAGACATAAATTTCAGAAAGATATTTTGACAGAATAGTTTTAATTGTGCGCCGACTGACACACACGCACCGAACACGTTGTAAATGCCGTGGAGGGCATCTCAAGGGTGACCGTATCGGAGACCAGCAGGTTATCTCGTGCCGGTCGGAACCTCCGGTCTTCTGCTTCTGATTGTAGCCTACTTGGGAAAGCATTTGTGGCCATACACGATTTAACTCAGCACTTGCCGTAAAAGGTAAATTATATCACTAAATTTTACTCTTATTTACGCGTCTCGGAGCCAAATCGTGCCCACCAAATATTTGATCCCTTTCAGCCTCTGGGACGACATATTCTGAAGGTGTGGCTCGCCGTACTTCCATCCGACATCTACCACTAGATCAAGTTTCACACGCTGATCGACCAGTTAGATGAAATTGCGCTTTGGCCTTTTCACGCCTTTTTATGTGGAGCATGATTATCTCCACAGTAGACGAGAAGCTTGTCGTGTGCCTGGACAGGAAGAGACTGTGCTTGTAGGGCCAAGCAACAATTACGTAGGGACCTTAGGAATAGCCATGTGAAATAAGGGGAAAATCAAGCAATGAACGTGGAGTGTGCATAGATTCATCCAAGTTTTGCAGCCCTAATTGAAGTACCTACTTTCGTGTCAAACCATTTGATTTTTCGTTCCGTAGGAAAGAGACTACATTGGACCAGTTTCTACTACAGTACGAAAAACTTTGTTTATGATGTAGTAGCTGATACAATTTTTCTGATTTGATTTACTGAAAATGTTACAATTTAGAAGGGAATAAGCTCAATGTGATTGAAGTCGCCTGTTTCTCTCTGTGTGTGTGCTGTTCAATGCCCGTAACAAGCTACGCTACACTTTGAAACTTTATGCCACAATACTGGTAGTTAGCTACGAATTTGTAAACGAATCGACCTATTTTTTTGCCTCTTCTCAACTTTTATTCGATGCAGGGTACTGTTAATTAGGTGAAAAACTGCAGTCTTGTGTTTAGGCACTATCTACAACTAGATGTAAATGCTCGGTGTTCTTGCAGGGTAAAGCTACTTCCACCTAAGATAGCCCTCAACCGGAATATCTTTCCACCAGCGGTAGGGCTACTGGGTTCGCATCAGCTTGCAACTGCAAGCCCCAACAGGCGTTTTACCCCCTTCAATTTCCATTGCTAGAGGGCTTTTGCGCCAAGAATTTTGTCGAAGAAAATCAAAAATTTTGAATTTCTAAGCGACCTCATCGAACTCAGACAAATGTCAGGGGAAAAACTGACACTTTACTGCAGCAGCAGCGAGTGGATGACTGGGAACCTCAAAAGAAAGTTACTGAAAGCTAATGAGAGCTTCTCAGAACAACTCTGATATACCGCTGCGCGCGGCCCTCAAAGCACCCGCCGTGAGGGGATAAGAATGGCTAGCACTCGCCTAGCTGCAGCCCATAACAACTCCGAGCATTCACATCTAGTTGTGCACAGCGCCTAGCGCACAGGAGCAGAACTCCTATAGCCGTTCCTCTACGGAGTAGAATCACAAAATCTGGTGCGACGGAAAAAAGGTGAAGAGTACCTGTCTGTCAAGATAACCAGGAAGAAACGTTGACAGCAAACCATGAACGAGGGACCAAATCAAAAGGATCGCGATGGCCGGCTGTCTTTGTAGGCTTCGCTCTGATTGGAGCGCTAAGATTTATGAGTCTTCTCACACGTGATAGCAGCAAACAAGTACGATCTGCAAACAGAATCAAAGTGGACTCGAGCTCACCAGCGCCGCCGTATCTCATACCAATTTTTGCATACCAATGTAGCTGGCAAATGCAGCACTGTCAATTTGCAACCCCCAAAAAGGCGTGTGGAAGAATGCATACGCACCATAGCTGGAAGTCCCTGCGCGAAAATTTGAGTGTAGAAAGCATCTAAAAAGTATTAACCAAGGACCTTCTGAGCACAACCCAGAGATGAAGGTAGATCTATTAGGCAGAGAACACGTACGAAGCAAGCGTAAATCCTGGGGCAGCGCGGGTAGGACTGTGCATGGAGACTTGCACTGTTCACAAAACAGCTCCGTGAAATCCCGTGGAAGCAGTAGCGCCCGCAACTACTTCGCTGTCAAGCAACGCGTTTGGCGTCCGCGACCGTATTTGGCTAGAGACTTTCCAATACTGCGGCCTCGGCGCTTTAAATTTCTCAAAAGCAGTAGCTCTACAACCTTTTAAGGTGAGCGGCAAGAACGTCAACCGATAAGAAGGGGCCTCGAACGTCTTCAGGAAGCTAACATCGATAGTTGTGTGACACCCACTACTTTTGGGGTAATCGAGAGAATAAACTGCATTGATTCGTGAGAGAACGGCAGCTGGTCCCAGCCAATTGGCCGCAGGTTTCTTCGTCGGGTCACCTAATGCACCTTGTTGAGCCTTCCAATACATCAGAACCAACCGGGTAGGCTCGAAGCACAGCCCACTGCCACTGACTGCTACTGATGATACTCTGTGTTTTATTCGCTAAAGGTTGCGCTTACATCTGAGTTCACTGGCTAGCTTGCCGCTGAATCCATTTGTTGCTACGGCTTGCTGGCGGCTCCAGACCACTAGATCCGTGCCTGGATTGTGAAGGTAGTGCTTAGCGTAGAGCGGAGACCCTCAGAATCGATAAGCACATAGATGCACTGTTGTATTACACACCAACTCGCCACGAGAAAGAAAAGCAGGCCGACCAATTAGCTTTGGGGATGTGTCTTGGTGCTAACGACTACTGCGGCCGGTGCGATGTGTCTGCCCATTTGTCCCGGGGTTGTTCGGAGTGGTCATCTTGTGGTAAATGTGTAAGAGGGTCATGATCGCATGCAAGAGAGCGCTAACGAACTCCAGATCTGTATTCCACTGTATCCCACTGATACTCCTAGAGAGTTCGTAAAGTTTTCAGAGCTTATCTAGGAATATAAGAGCGACTTCATGAGCCGTATCAACTCCTGAGTAAGGGATAAACTGAGCGTGTATAATGAGGCCGTCGGCAACGAAGTAGGTGCCATATTAACACTAGATATCCTGTAACCCATACTCAGATCAGTGTAGAGCCATTCAAAATCGAAAGGCCCATGAAAAGACGAGCTTCTTGAGAATTTGGGGTTTAGCTGCTGAGAATCTGCGTCAGGCAGTGATTACGCTGGTGCCGAGGGAAGAGCCCTCGCCACTAGAAGGATCGTAAGGGCTTTTCCAGTGTAGTGCGCATCCTGCCATGAATCGAAAGAGCATGGTTATATGCGTTGCTTGAAAAGGCGCTGCACAACAAAACTGCGATTTACAAGTCACGGAGTCACCGCTTTGGTCTAAATCACAGCAGGCCACCCTCAACGTGGTGGCGCTCCACCTTTTTGCCTTTCTAAAATTTCTTGCAAGAATAGCGGGTGCGCATGTGTTTAAAGCGTAGCACCGACGCAATCAGTACAGAGCTCGTGAATACTCATCGACCAGAGCTGTTGCGTTGCACAATACAACGCCACTGGGCGTTGGAGGAGCGCGTCAGCGACGACATTGATGATGCTCTTCAAAATGCTTCACCACAAACTAATGCAGGGAAAATCCAAGGCACAGTGTAGTTCAACCCTGGAATAATCAAAGTCTTAAACGCTGTTTTCAAAGCGCATAAAAAGTATCAAAGCTTGATGGTCGATGTAAACACTGAAATGACATCTGTTTAGATAAGGCCGACAGTCTCTACACACCGCAAGTAACTTTTATTACTCACTAGACAACGCTGCTCTGCTTCTATGAAGCGAGGAAATTAACAAGCCATAATTTGATGTCTTGGAGAGTCTGTAGCATGTTGGCAGGAAGTATGGCCCACCGCTACGTCGGTAGCATCCGCTGTTAGGAAGACATGACGCTCGTAATCGAGCAGCGCAAGCACAAATGATATTGTTAAGCGACGCATGCGCATCCTTGCTGCGGCATCTGCTTCCTCCATGACACAGACTGTGGCTTTTTGACTAGATCACTTAAAGAGGAAGCAATCCGACCAGCCCAGTGGTGAAATTTCGGCACGAAAATGCAAGCCCTTGTGCCCTCCTACGACTTTGCGGATAAGCAAAGGTAAAAGCCACTGTCTGGTGCTTCAATTTTTGCCAAATCTGCCTTGCTTCCTACGACCAAACATGTAAACGCAGAAATTTTGGCGGCTAACATCAGAAACAAACAGTTGTGTGCTTTCACATACCATCGCTCGCCCTGTGACAGCCGAAGCACACGCCGTCGCAGCTATAGACGCCCTCTGAATATTTTGATTAAATACTGAGATGTCGGCCAGGTAAACTGTCATTCAGCCCTCCTCGATAGGCTCACAAAAGTTTTGAGTTTGGGCAGTAACAAGTCCAAACAGCCCCAGGCGTACTTGGGTGTGCAAGTCTGCAGCTCATGTCACATAACATCCGGGGCACATACACACAAGCTTGCGTCTTTTTGGCTCCACCTAGCATCACTTTGCAGTAAACAGGATAGCAACAACCAAACTTTTTAATCGTTCTTTTACCAGTTCTTGTAAGCATGAACCTGGTGTACTAGAAAATTTTTAATTGTAGCTTAGCTCGCCACACTAAAAGATTGATTCTTGACGCATTGAGCTATTCCCACTCTGCAACCAATAGGATATGCAAACAGCTGACCCAAGCAGTCAATTATTTACTAGATCTCTTCAGACGAGAAGAACTTGGATACGAGTGGCTTCGCCCGCTACACGCCCTCAGAACGACGAGCAAGTCCCCTCAGTTCTGTGTGCATAAACATGTTTTGCATAGATCTGTGGATGCAAGGCAACCGCCGAACTTACAAGGTAAGTGGTCTTCTGTGGGCGGTGCTCATGCCATCTATGGGGCTGCCCACACAATCATTTATGCAGCAGTGAACCTTAGGTCTGGGGGTGAAACTCATTCATCCACAGATCTAATGAATGTAGTAAATCGAGCAATTTCCGGAATGCTGTCCGGCTCGCTTTAGAAGCAGGCTACGCGACAGAGGATAGCCACATGGACTGTGAGTTGACCAAATGAAGGACTGCACTGTGTGTTTCCCGCAGACTTTGTAGTTTTGTTGCCGCATTAAAGCACAAAAATGCTCTTTTTTCATCTATATATTCTAGATTTTATGATGCCGTCTGTTCTACGATGACGTCTTCGCTGTACTCTACAGCGACTCATCTCGACATTCTGGTGTAGGGTCACCTGGGATCAAACTGACAACCAAGAGCGAACTCACATGCAACAAAACGACCGGATTCTGAGTATTCCCCCTTTGCTTCAGATTCTTCCTTTTAGTATATCATCTGAAGGGGCTTCTAGCGTATGTTTAGAATCCCTTCATGATGTGGCAGCCAAGGAGGGAGAAGGGGCCAGCGCCCCTTGGGGTTGCTATGCTCGTATCCCGTTCACAGATCGAAAAATTCAATTATACAAAAGGCAGACCCATTATCTCTCGAACGAAGTGGCCTCGCTAAGGAGGGTGGTGCACAGCGCTGTGGGGCCCCTAATTCAGCCTACCTGTGATCGCTGCGTCTCGAGTGTATCCAGATATACAACCTGCGAACGGCATTTCGCACACTATTTCATCTTCCGTCACTTACTGCACGAGGCAGCGTGGAGGGTCCAGCAGGCCACAGGTCTGTCTTGTGACCCACTTGCAATGCAAGATGATACAAAGTATTCGTATGCATCTGCTGCTACCACACACCAGTCAGTTGGTGCTGGTGGTGGCGCACAAGGTGCGGCCCACGCTTTTCCCCTTAGAATCGGTGGCAAGATTGAATCGTTGAATAATATCTCCCCCAATGATTCCAGAGTGACCGTGAAGCACGATGCCCGTGCGACTTCGGTCCTCGACCATTACGCGCACCTTCTGCTCGCCGAACACCCCAGAGCAGTAATGCAAAGAGCCTACGTTCACGTGTTTAGCTTTATTCGTGCTCATAATACTATCAGTCCCGATAATTATAAGAGCTTTGCACCCCTGGCGTTTTCCCTCTTCAGCTGTCTACCAAGTTTTTCGTTACATCGCTGGTGGCCAGAGGTGTACTCCATGCCTTCACAGGGACGCTCTTTTAGAGTGGCAGTAGAGCTCCTTCATTTTTCCTTAGATGAGTTTCACTTGTTCTTAGAGGAAGATACCTTAGCACGGGAGCTACTTTCTGCATGGGAAGCGTACGCGTACACTGCGCGCTCTGCTGGTGTGGACCAGCTCACTGCCAGGCTCCACAGTTGCCTTCAGTTATCCAAAGAAATGCGAAAAAGATGTGGGGCTCCACAGGATCTTCGTCCTCTTCTGCAGGCAGCAGTAGCAGTCGTCTCGGTGTACCTCCAAACACAACCACCTGATCAGCAGCAAGTGCTCTTGTTACGAGAGCTACATATGCTCCCACAAGTTCTGCAGCAACTGCAAAGCGTCAAAAACAGGCTCTACAATTTAAAGCTGGAGCACCCTCAAGTTCGTACTGTTACTGCCATTTCGGGCCACTTCGTGTCATATGGCTGTTTTCTTTAAGGCCGGAACAGGTTTTGCATTAACTGCTAGAGCGAGCTTGGCGAGGCACTGGCACATTTGGTCTACGAGAAGGGCTAAAAATATAGTTTTCGCTTGATTTGTGGGTATTCAGATTTGGAAGGAGTGGTTAAATCACATGCAACAAAGGCGTCTCCTACGCGTACAGCGTGACCAAGAATGGAAGCAGCTCGTTTCAGCTCATGCAGTTGTGGAGGGATTGTGGGAGCTAATACAACAGCAACGCAAAAAACAGAAATTCGCCTCCACTGGTCTTGAGCTGCAGCTAATGCTCCTCTCGTAAGCACCTGCATTCATATCCACACGAAAATAGCTCCAACTGGTGCGCGCTGCCAGTAATTTAGCCCGTTGAATCGCCAGCCTAGTTAAGCCTGCTTGCCAAACAAAGCCATATATTTGTAGTTGATGTATGAAAATGCAGACGGGATGAGGCTGCAGACAAGCAGCAGTTAGTAGAAGAAGTAACAGCCGAGCTAGAAGAGTCACTGGCGTACGCTGTTGACACTTTGAACTCGCAGCAGCTGGCCAACCTCGATATTTTCCAGGTTATTTCTTCGATCCTCAGCAAACTTTCAATTGGGCCTGTCCGTAGGCCCGGAGTTTCCTTTTCCTTAATGCTTATATCTACTAAGGTGAACCCAATTGGCTTACCGCTGTGGCCTGCTAACGTAAAGCAGACTGCAAGCGCACCAGTGCATCCGCTATAGCTGTTGAAATAAATGCGTTCGCATCGCAAACGCCACCAGTCCAGATCCACTGGTGGGAATGGAATAGTGCAACTTAGCTAGCGTTGAGGGAGTCCTAAAGAAATGAGCGTTCATTATCTGTCAAGAAACCGTGGCGGAGTTTTTCGCGATGGCTGGTTTGTGACTGCGAGCAGGAACGTGTAAGAGACCCCCATGATACGCTGAGCATCGAGGCTTCACAAGATCAGCAGGAACGCGGGCACGCAGACAAATATTTGCCTTCGCGAGAGCAATTTAGACGCTTTCTCTGCCAGCGCCTTTCAGCTGCAGTCTCTTGCCAGATCAACGGCAGGCCTGTCGGATGTCAGCAAAACATCGCGTTGCAGTTTCCTTTTTTCTCAACGTCTACAATACCTTCCGTGGCGTCTTCACTGCCGCTTGAGGCTCTGCCTGTGCGACAAGGGCAGCAGCTTCAGACGGAATCGGTGGTGGCCTCCTTTCAAGCCACGATCGGCGAACCCCTTTCTTCCATATCTCTCCATATTGGGGCTACTCATCCTGGTAGGAGAAGTCAAAGTATCTGGCAGTGTTCAGGGTTTGCACTACACTTAAAGTGCGTAAAAGCTGGCGCAAAAAGAAGCGGGGGGTGGGGAATGGCGACTTGGCGTGCCTTCATCACTGCCCAAAAATACACCTCATGACTTGCTTTAGGTCTTTCAAAGCCAGTGGAGGCCAGGGTCGACGTTCCACTATCGCAGCAGCTTGAGAAGCTGGCCTTTGAACTCCTGAGTGGAAGTTATGCCGATCCCGAAAACTCGAGCACCGCTATTTCGTCCCCGGTGGCACTCTGCCTTGACCTGCCCTTCAATTCTACGAAAGGAGAAACGGATGCAACTGTACAGCAGCACTCCCATGTTGCACAGGCTTCCCGTCGGGCTAAGTATTCCCAGTCCCCGAATGACAGCGTGTTGCAGGGGAACCATTGCACCAACCGTTGACAAAGGGATTCACCGTAAATTCCACTGTATGGAGGCCACAAGAAATGTTACTGCACTCACTGCCTTCAGTTGTCTCCCCTCAGGCACCATCGGCCGGAGATACAGAGCTGAATAGCCATCGTCAATTCAATATCCACACCTCGGCAGCCCCCGCGGTCTCACAAAACTCTTCCGCAGATGTTCTCAGAAAAGTCACTGCAGCGTCCAGCCTTAAAGCAGAGCAGCGCAACCATGCTGTGCCTCGTGGTGTTCTGCCTACAACTGCAGCTGCTTCTGCTGCTGCAGTTGCAAGTGCAGCAGCTGCTCCACCCGTAGATGCGGGAACTGAACAAGAACCAGTATGCCATCGGAAGGATTCTCATGCATCAACCATTGCCCGGTCATGCTGGCCGCTTGGGAGAGTTGTAGGCAAAAATCAAAGAGGGGCTCATGCGGCTCGCGTCCACACAGAGTCAACGCATGGAAACTCCAAAAGTTATGGAATGGATTCTGAAATTGGCAAGAGTATAACCTGTGCTACTGCGAAGACAAAATTTGCGGAGCAGCATCCAGATACTGCACTGCTTCGTAGCACTAGGTCAAAGTCCTGTAAGGCCACAACACAATGCCTAGGCACCTCTAGTTCTGCATCTGCGTCGGAAGACTTTTTCGCGGGCTCTTTCTCATCCAAGGTATCATCAACTGGTTTGGGAGAAAACAAGGACAAGGAAGTTTCCCCGACTAGCTCACAATCCTTCTTGGTTGCAACAAAGTATGACGAAATTCATTCAGAACTTGAAACTTTCCACACCTCGCATCCATCTGATATCAGGGATAAAAAAACTAGTAGTAGCCTCTTCAAGTTTCCAGTATCACATTTGTTGGTCTGTTTGTGTTTATGAACTTGGCTTTTTAGACATTGTCGGCACGTAAGAGGCTTTGCTAAGCTTCGAATTATAATTACGGCGCTTGCACAAGGCCACGATAGACCGAGAGGCATCTGTTCTGCTGGTATGCGTTTGGCCCCAGCAAATATCACCAGCTTCTGCCTTCCATTATCGTCTGGGCTAGAGGGGAATCTTATGTTCCTTGGAACTTTTCAAGCTAAAAATGACTTCAGATCTGCTGCGGAACAGCAGTGTAGCCCGGAGCTTGCGTCTGTGAGAGTGGATTTTAAAAAGATAGAGCCTTTCTGCACTTTCAGCACCTGGCTGTATTTACATTGAATGCAGGTGTCGAATGGATAGCAGTTCACAAGTCGAAATTAGAGGCACAAGCCGCTCAAGCCGCAGAAAATGTTTATAAAAGGCGGAGGCTTGTTTTGCGTGAAACGGCTCTAGCACCGCATGTCACCTCTCTCTCAACCGTACAGCTTCACGAGGCCCCAACTGGTGTATCTGCCGGAAATACGAGTGGGGGCTCACCTTCGCTCCGTGCTTTGAGTCTCCTTGCTCACTCGAGGGTCCAGCTGTACCCGCTCTCAAAGCTGAAAACGTCTTTCAGGCTATGTCTAACGATGCAGCGCCTTCACGCAGGAACACTCTCCGAGCAACTCCCCGGAACGGACATGGAAACCATCCTTCAAGCTGTTTTCAAGGGATATCCACAAAATCCTCAGACAGTCTTCTCGCTAAAATATTCTCTGGCTCAGTGCAAGCCACACGCCTGCTGGGTGCGAGGAACCACACACCGGCCACACACTTTGACAACTATTGATGCCGCCCTTTCAATATGTTGAATTCTTTTTGTTCATTCTTGAACGCAGCTGGCTCAAATGGGACGCCAAGAAGTAGCTATTTCTCAGGCTGGCACTGTAGGTAGATGCTGCGCGGTTGCGTTGTAGGGAGGCTACTATGAACGCAAGCTACGGTATTATTTGCTCACCACGACCGGCACAGCAGCTGCAAAGCTGTTGATACCCTGGCCTGAAGATGAGGCTGCAGCTACGTTAGGATTGAAAAAGGATTCTGAAGAGCAGCAGGCATTGCCATCTCGCGTTCACCAAGCTGACTCTGACTGCTCCGTAGCGCAGCAGCTTCACATGCCGCTTGAGAGACCTATTATCCCCTATTGTTTAGTGGTTAAGGAGGTCCGCAATCCGATAGCCTTTCCGGGATCTAGAGGATTGTGGCAGCTATGTGATCCGTTTAGGATATGTCAGTACATGTCGCATGTAGTCCTGCCTCTACTTTTAAAGAAACGCATCATGAGGAAGGAGAAGCAAGAGCAAATGAGCCGTCGGTCATATTTATGGGAGGCGAAGGACGAGAAACTTCCTCAGAAATCTTCGTCCTCCAGTCATACGCCCACGACCGAAGTTAGGGCTTTTGTAAGGCCATCGCTTCTTCCTTCCCTTGTCTGCTGTGTTCCTTGATTTGCTTCTTGCCGGAGTCTGTCTACATATCTACCCGTTTCACGTTACTTCAGAGCAGATTCAAGTTATCGGAAGGACAATGGTTTCAAGTATCTCTTTCTCTGTACACTTGTCTGCTGCAATGTGCCTGCCTACCTCCGTACCCCGGTGCCTGCCGCATGTTTTAGTGGTGCATTGTCTTACTGCTATTTTATGGGCTTTAATCATGCGCTAGTAAATCACTCGGATACTGGATAAGTATTACTGTTTCTTTCTTTTCTCCTCGGTACCTTGGCCGTAGGTTCGAAGGCTGTACAATGTGCCGCGACGTCAGCTACCAGCAGATCTTAACGAGTGGCACAGGCAATGCTGCAATATCTCTGAGCCGGCTTATAGACCCCAGGGATGCGTAGGTTTTGCTGTCTATGAAAAGGCTATTCCCTCAACAGCAACTGCTGCTAAAATCTGCACTAAGGCAGCTTCAGCTATAAATGTACTTCAGATTAGCCGCCCAAAAGTCGTGGTACGGATTAGTTTACCGGAGATTGGGGTTGACATTTCTTCATCTACCAGATCAGCAGAAGGCGAGAACCCTTTCATCGATCAGGTAACACTCCCTCTTTACGCCTTGAAAATGCTGGCCGATATAATCTATCCTACGATAGTATAGTGTACAACCGCTACAAGTCTTACTCCGGTTTTTCTTCCCAGGCTCTATCCTTCGACCTATCTGGAGTTCAATGCTACGATATAGCGCGGCTGTACAAACAGCGTGGCCGCATATACATTTCTGTTTTTGACGAAATGCGGCTACCCGATAGTATCGCCTGCACCCGGCACAACTCATTGCACCAGCAGGATTATAAAGATACTCTCAGAGAGGAGCCAAGTATCCTTTTGGGGTCTTTGGATTTGGCGTGGAGTTCGCTACTTCTCTCTGCTACGGAAACTGCTGTTCCCTCAATGGAGTCTGCTGCGTTTGCAAATGCAATCCCTCGTACCTACAAGCAGCGAAATAGGCTGCGGAAGCTTTTTGAAAGGCGTATTCACATTGCGGAGGACGGCACTTGTTGCCTGTGTATCTTGAATGGCTGCTTTCGTCTCCAGCAGCCCAGAGGACTCCTCAGTCATGATAGAGGGGTACAGAAAACGAGCGCAGCCTCCGGCGGTGCAGTATCCCCACACTCAAGAGCAGCTCATGCATGCGTAGCAACCCCATGTGATATGTTTATATCTCTCAAAATCGAAATCCGAGGGCTGGCATTAGCAATCGGCTGCGGTTTTCCTCGCATGCTGTTTCCTGAAAACCTGGATACGCGACTAGTACAACCTGGGCAGCAGTTGCTTGAAAGCGTGAATTTTCAGCGCCAGCCGTTTCATGACAAAAGTGATGGTCATGATATTCAGGCACTTATTACGCTCGATATGCAGTGGCGCCAAAAGGCACAGCGGTGTGGTGCACTGGCAGTACCTTCCTCCATCGGTGAGCTGGCCCCAAGCACTTTGCTGCTGTCGATTTCTACGCGTAATACGGAGTGGTACGGACTCTACGCCCCCGTATTGATCCCTCTTGAAGATGTGCAAGTTTTTGCTCCCCTTCAGTAATGGACAGCCTCGGGTCTCTCCGTCTGCTGTGCGATCTATTGTTTCCTGCACTTCCACCTGAATCTGTGGCCGTTCCATTTGAGCCGTACTGTCTAGAGAAGACCGCAGCATTTGTTTCTCTCCTTCCCTGCGTAGACGACTCTCAGGTGTTCAAAGGCAAGCTAGAGCACTTCGCCCTTTCAGGTGGCAACATTAGCTGTTCACCGTAGCATTGCACAGCGTATCGGTAGTCATGGCAAGCTAGATGGTGCATCCTTTTAGCACCCCCAAAAAGCTCCTCAGGTGGCATTCGCCATTGTGTGTGCCGGTTACAGAGGAAATTCCTATTTGGCTGACTCCTCAGCAGGCTTTGGAAGCTGGCTGTTGCCCCGCCCGAGTCCATGCCCTGCTTCTCTGCTGCTACTTCATTGGACTCGATCTGCGCATGCAGACGGGGTGCTCTTGTTATATTGTCCAAGGCAAGCGTTTACACTGTTCTTTACGTTACCGCTTGCAGTTCTGACCCTTTCCGTGCAATGTAATTTGCAGTAGCCACCCATCCATGTAGTTTTATAAGCCTTGAAATTACACCCTGAATAGCCTTCGAAGAAGCTTTTACTGCCAATATGCTATATTGGCGCCTGCTCACGTCTTGTAGGACACATTGTCGGAGAGGGCGAGAGACATCTTGTCTTGCGGTTAGCGCAATCGGGGGCAGCTCAGCTTTGGGATCCTCTTACCGGAGAGGCTATCTGCATCAGTTCCAACGACGACCCGCAAGAGCAGCAGCAGCTACAGTCTCAGTCGCTTTCAAAAGACGAGAACCTTTCGAGGCGAAAGCTTGATGTTCTACTGGCACTGCAGGGCATAACTGCTCAACACAACCGCCTGCAGCAGCATCTGGCTTTTAGGCTTCATGCAGCTCAACAATATCTTTCTGTTCAGCAGTGCAATATCGAGCAAAAGCTACAATGTTTCATGTACCAAGAAAAACAGCTAAACGGTGAACTAAGCACCGCGTCAGAGGGCAAAACTGCGTTGGAGGATGTCCAGCAGCTCCAAGTTGCCCTTGCCGAGCTGAAAACCAATGAGAATGCGCTCATCAGTGAATGGCGCACAATTCACGCTGCGGAAAGTAATCCTTCTCCTTTCATCTTGGGTGGCCCCAGTCAGAAAAGTACAAATGGACTTTGGCCGGTATCGCATCTTTCCTTGGTTGTTGGGCGCAATAATGCCTATATCAACCTGCAGCCCATGCGATGCCTAAATAGCCGCCACAGCTCTATGTCAGCTCCTGTGGTCTTACGGGCTCATGGACAAGCTCTCAACGAGTTCGCACCATATAGTGCTTCACCTGATATCTTAGACGATGAAAGTCTCATTCGCCAGTCTATCCGCAGCCGCCTACGGAGGCAGCACCGCTGGAGGTGTCTGGGGCTACCTGCACTAGGCCACACGCTAAAGAGAGCTGCAAAGAGTGTGGCATCGGCTACTTTGTGGTTAGGCTGTTGCATTAAATGCATTGGGATCCTCTGCTGCGACAGGTACCAACGCTGCTCTAGCAAAGCCAGTTTTGTCACTGTGCCAATGGGGTAACAAGGAAAGCGGTCACCAATAAACTTACAGTACTGCAGGCTATTCAAAAAACAATGGTCTCCCCATTGAGCTGAGTTACCTGTTTTCCCTCTAGGCGGCTACGACCCAAGAGTAAAGTGGTGACTCTCGCGTCTTGCCGTTTCGCGCTACAAAGTCCAAGTGAATGGGCTCCTCTATTTACTGACGTAGTGAGTTTCACCCTGGCTCACCTACACGGGGTCCACAGAGGTGCACATAAGCAATGGTGCTTGCTGTAAAAGAAGCTAACAAGGCAACTCTCAAATTGCTGCATCCACCATGCGGAAGCTCTCGATGAACTGTAACTTTCGTTTCTAGGCTAAGTGTTTGCACACCCTTGTGCCAAAAAACGAGGGCTATCCCCCTCGAGTGTAACACTAACCACAGTGGAGGCTTGACACAATCGGCGCTAAATTAGCAATCGTTTTGCAATCCACAATGCAAGCAATGGCGATGCAATCGCAAAATTTTGCATGATCCAAACGTCCAATCGCCTCGCGTTGCAATATCGGACAGCCAGATGCCATATTGGCGTTTTCACACGGCATTCTTCAGATAGAACTCGAGAACCATCGGCAGCAAGCAGCGACGACTGCTCACGAACGGACATTCGAAGCAGAAGCACGAGCTGGCTCACCTTGCAGGGGCGCCCCTGATAGGTGTGACGAAGCAGGTGCTGTAAACTCAGCCGAGGTTATGGGTATTTGGGGTACTGAAGACCCTTTAGTGGATCTTGTGCCTCCCACAAGTAAGCTGACATTTGCCTTTGCGGCATTTCAAGAAGCAGATCCGCTCTAATGGAACCGATGCCATGCTGGTTTACCAGAGCTGTTTGTTTTTCGTGCACGTCGTATGGTCCAACTTTCTACTTTTTACACTAAATGAATCAAAGCAAGGCGGTTTCTGCATTTTGCACGCTGCAGGCCATGTAAGCCCCTTCCGAAAGGAAACGCATTATGAGGAGGCTGATCCGCCTACCCTTGCGGAAGCTGAACAGCATCTACAACGTGCCCTACAGCAATTTTTGATTGAGCATTACGCCGAGGCATATCTAGCGAGTGAATCTAAACTAGGACAAGAAGATCTCAATGGAGAGAACCTCACTTACGTTCAACAGCTGCTCTTTACGGCTGAACCTCATGAAGCTGTGTACGAACTTCTGGAAAGCTACGAGGAAGCCCGGTGCACTAATTCGTGGCAGCATATAGCGGCAAACCCCCAATACGAGGCTGACACGGCAGACAAAGCAGTGGCATGCTTGACTTCCCCCACAAGAACTACGGAACACATGCTGCAAGATACATTGAGGCGCTTAATTTCCTCAAGATTCCCTGGAAGGCCAATACGGGGCATCGTTCATCATTTTGTCGAAGTAGATGCACTAAAATTAGCAACACAGCTAATAGATGCTCGCGTATTTGACTGGCGAACTACCGGTAGACAATCTATTAAAGGCACCTCAGGGAGAGGGCATTCATTTGCAGACTTCCAAGGCCCGATCAAGGCACAAGAGTTTGCTATGGGCTGTCTAGTTGTCAGGCTGTTTCCTTATCCGTGTGGTCTATACAGTGGATGGCTATTTGCTGGAACAATTGACTAACACCCACTGGTTTTCGCGGCTGCCCTACACTGAATCTTCGCACCACATTGAAGACAACAGTTTCTCAGAATTTGAGTACTAGCACGCCTAAATCAAAGTTCTAGTGCTTGGCAACACCTATAAATACTGCTACATTTTGGCACCCAGCTAGTCCATGGATATAGACCCTTAGTTCAACATGTTCGGTTGGTGAGAGACATCCATCCGCGAGGAAGAAGAAGGCGCAGCTCCCCAAAATAAGTGTATAAACGACAAAATTAATAAAAGTCCGTGTTTGCATCATACGAAGGCATATTCTCTGAGAACCTTTGTGAGCACTCAACCCAGTTTCATGGTAGAGCGTAATCAAAATGAGGCACAAACCTCACTACTATTATTATTGCTGTTTAACGGTTTTTGAATGCACTATTATACTCTAGAAAGACTCCACTCAACTACAGGCCATAGTTGGCACACAGCAAACTCTAGAGGAAGCCCAGCATGTGGGTGATCTACGCAATGCAACTGTGGACTTACCACAAAGGAATCGGTAAGTAGAATTTATTGAGACTCACTTCACTCTGCCCTCGGAACTGCAAAAAATGGATTGCAACTTGCTGTAGTTGTTGGCTACCAAAGTTTTGTCGCCACTACTGGTAACAGGGCCACCAAGCGGCATCAAAAAGATTTATTATCTTCGCTGGATTTATTTCATTATTAGCCTACGCAACGCCCTTAGAAAAAACTAGTTTATTGTGTATATACACGTCTTGATCCACATAACACTTATTCTGGACTCAAGGAACCCACTGACTTCTAGCTGTGCTGTGTGTGGCGCTGCGAGTTGTAGTACAGAACATAAAGACCCATGTGAGTCGATTCACTTGCCTATCGCGTAAATGTTGACAAACGGGTGCCTTAAAATACGTAGAGGCAAGGCAATCAAACATGGGAATAGATCTGTTGCACTTAGTCGGCGAAAGGTGTTTGAGGAGCTTCAAACCGGAAGAGCACATTGGCGTGATTGCCTTTTGGCTGGAAAAATACCGAGTCAAACTTTGAACTGAGCTCAGCGTACAACAAGAAGCATGTGGCGGTTAAGAGTGTAGTACTCCACGCCTTCACGTATACCATGAGATATCTGTACAGGTCGCTCTTCTCCGTCAGGCTGTCGTGAAAGGCATTGGCGGAAACAGGCTTGCTGCCAAGGCACTTGTCCAGAGGCGACTGTGTCCAATCAATGTTTTGGGCATTACGAAGATTTATATACGCTCTACACACCAGAACGTCACGAAACGAGCAGCTGCCATCTATACTTTGAGGGGTAAACGGGAAGAAATTCTGTGATAGTAACACCTCTCCGTCGTTGCAAGTGCTGATTAGCCCCGACTCTGAAAGTTTTGTATTTTCCTCCGAGACGAAGAAGAACAACATGGGCAGCCAACACAGCTTATGCCTTCAAATAATGCTAGAGTTCGCAGCTTCAGGTGCGCACTGCTTTCGATGGAAATTACCCCAATGTGCAACTGTGCTCGAGCAACTAGCGGAGCCCCTGTACCACGTTCTGCAGTTATCCACAGCCGCAATTCCTTCTCAGCTCCATCTCCTGCTGCATGAATCATTGAAAGCGGCAATAATCCATACATTTCTGATGAATGAGACTATCAGCCAGAGATTAGCGGGAAAGGCTACTAACCAAGGCCCCTGTTTAGAGAGGAATCCCAGTCTGCTGACCCACTTCCCCAGACTCATGAATTCCGCAATTGAAAAATTCCCGAACACGTCAAGGATCCCTGCCATCATTATTGGCATAATGGCCATTATCCCCATAATGGACATCATTATTGTGAAGTTGACGCTAAGGAGAGTAATCGCCCGCTTCCCACACCGATAGTTGCGGAAAAAGCTTAAGCTAGGAATCAGCAAGTGCAAGAGTAGAGACGCTGCGATTCCAACTACGGCAATTAAAGCCATCAGACGGTAGAAGAAAACCAGTCGCCAAGAATGACGCCGACGCGTCCAACTGAAACCAATGGACTGGCAGGTTTTACAGCAAAAACTAAACCCTAAACCCTAAAACACCCGAGCCCACTATTTTGGGCCCCACAGATAGGTGTATGCATGACGAGTGTTTAGCTTCGTACTTACTTTAACCCCGCCAAGAAGAAACTTCAGTGACACAAAGCGTCCGTATCGCACGACGAGAGCTTGACTACGGCCTCATTTGCGGAACGTGGATGCACCAAGCTGGGCGGTACCGAGCATAACCTAAGGTAGAAAAGCAAGTAATGAACAAAGAAAATTACATTGTTAAGGTGGTTCGGCTACTTTTCTCCGCTTCACGCCAATCACCGAAACAAGGAAGCAGCAGAAAAAAGCACAAGACTATGATATAGCAGCTCACCAAGTATCTCAGCAATATATATGCGATTATTTACAAGAAAGACGAGGAGTGGATCTACTGATTTCGTACTGTAAATGATATCTCCTTGCTGCTTCGCCCTGCCCCGGCTTGCCTCCAGCGGGGTCTCACGCAAACACACAAAGCCAATGGTTTTTAGAATTCTTCTCAATTTACTTGAAGGTACAGTGGCTACCACGTAAGAGCGCAGGATCATTCTTTTATTCTGGAGACGACGTTGCTCTGGGGGTAGGGCGGGGGAGTGTTCCCCTGCTTTTCATGTCTATTAAAAGTGAAGAGTAACACCAAACGTACTAGTAACTTTTGCTCATTAAGATTCAAAGTATACCTCTTGAAGGTCAAGCAAGATATTTTCACAGGACTTTTATCTGTGTGGTACCTTCTTCGACACTCTTTGAAGACCCCAGCAATTTGCCATCAACAGCAGGAGGTAACTACACACGATACATAAATCTTTTTTACCTCTTATTTCAGGGGGTAGCTCCCTGCTTTTGCATGTGATACACAAAAAATATCTGTCTGGCTATTCTGATATGCCATGTAGACCACTAGAAAAGCTAGTTCAGAACCAGCGAAAGCTAAAACAGCATCGAGGCATCTAGGTTTGCAAAAAAATGCTCCGCCAATACCATCAAAAATGACTGGAGGATATGCAGTACGTAAGCACTTCTTTTATTGGAAAGAGACACAATAGCCGTCCATGTACAAAGAAAGCCCCCACTTCAGCCATCTACATAAGACGTTTAGCAAGTCATTGTTTCAAACCACCATTGCCTGATGAGTGCCCCATGGCTGGTTTTCAAGAGGCCCAGCATCATGTAAGCTTCCGATTTCCTCAAAAAACACGGTCTTTTGGTTTGCTTGCTAAGTATAATCCGATCAATGGGTAAAAACATGTGGCTGAGTTCTCCATGCCTACTAACTATGGCTGTAGCACACAAAGCTACGCTTAGACACTTTAGACTAAGCTACTTATAGTGTCTAAGAATTAGTAAGGATTTAAAATGTTTGCTTGTCTGTTCGTGTGCCCCATTTACTGCAGAGTAGCGTTAGTTTGACACAGCAGTAGCCAGGTTGTGTGCATGTGCGCTTGCTGCAATGGACAACTAGCTCTGGTTTCTTGAAGTCCTTAGATTGTGCAGGTACGCTCCTCCTAGCTACTTGTCTAGCCTCATATCCTTACTCCTGAGGGGCGTGGACAAGGGAAGCAGGGAACTCTTGGACAACACTCACTAAATTTCTTTTTGCATTGAGGCTGGAATTAGGCATCTCCCAAGCGAAACTTTAAGCAAAGGATTACAAGTATTTTGTCTGGAATGAAAGGGGGGCCAGTTCGTTAATCCTAGGAAGTAAGAATTGGTATCAAATAGGCGTGGACCTTCCACCCATCGGCAAAAAGAGCAACATCGCATTCTAAAAAGCGAGAGTGACACGCGCCCAGCAGACGGGAGACTGATAAGTAGCCCTTGGAGCAAACCTTTTTTGGTTTCAATGCGCCATCGCCTGGAGGCATGCAGAAGCTGCAGCTCTTAAGTTGGCGTTGTGCGTGTTCTTGGCCCGTTGCAAGGAGCCTGGAGAACAAGTTTCACCGGAAAGCAGGCGTAGGCTGGCAAGCGAATGGCGTTTGCTTCAATTTGCTAGTTCAGGAGAGCCTCAAATTTGTATCGTTTTCCTTAATGGGGCCGTTCGCTGAATCGCTTTTACTTTTAAAATTTATTGCGTTACATGAGTATTCCCCAGGGCAGCACTAATCCATCCCCCCTTCAATCTGGAGCCCTTACCTTCAATCCCAGGCACAAACCTGGACGCCCACCTTGCCCCTATCCAACGTTCCTGCATAAATAAGCCAATCGCAATATTTTCGGCCAACTGTTTTCAGTGAGAACCTTTGCCATGCAAGACTAGCTGATGGCAATCACCAAAAGAGCAGAATATCCTATCCACTATCCTATAATGGTTCCCCGTACCACTGGCTCAGTCTTCGCTAGATCGTGCTCCAGGACAAACTGTATTAGTGAGAGTGCCTATTTCAGAGAATCACAAGCGCCATCATCAAGACAGCAGCATTACCACAACGCTTCTGACTGTGTTAAGCTCCCACAAAGACCGCTCTCTCTCACGCCCCAAGCAGGCCGAAGACGGATCAGGGTGTGCTTCTGCAAAAGTACGAGCATAGGCTGCATGCCAACCAAAGAGTCAGCTTGTTATGAAGCATCCCAAAACTACGAAATTGCCATTACTCGGTGCTTTTTAACTCTTTCCTGCTAAGCCGAGTGTTTTCCACTAGGAAAGGAAGGGTGTTTCACATGCATAGCCTCCACAGAAGCCTCTTTATATTCATGGTCCTCTTCGACAATATATTGTAGCCACCCATCGTGCGGCTCGTCCATTTCCGTGGCAAGCAGATCCCGCTCTCTCGCCTGCATGCGACTAAAGGCCTCCGCCAGAAGGACAGCTGCTGGCTTCATTGCGGTAAGACCCATTACCTGACAACACCAAGGGGGCTTGCTTACTTGCGTATTCGCAGATCGCGTAGCGCGTAATGCAACGACCGGTAAGCAAGTCTGTTTCGTATTGTCTCACTGCCCCCACAAAGACGCTCTGATATTACCTCGTAAATAACTTGCCTCCGTCCCCGGAGGCATTTGTACAATTCGCATTGAAATCGAAAGCTTGAAGAGGCCCTGCAAAGTACTTGTTTTACGTGTGGAAGCAGCAAACCGCGTTGGGGTACTAGCGGCTGAATACCAAGCTGCTGCTGAAGCTCATGCATTTCCCACTGTCTGTGTGTGGGTTCCTTCAACAGCAGCGGCAGTAACTGTATGCAGAGCATAGGAACGCATGGTCCAGCTCTGCTGTAGACTTGTGAGGGTACCTCAACATGAATATATTGCACGCTGTCACATTCTCACCCTTAGAAAGTCATCGTTGTTCACTATCGCCTTCAAGCCTTCCTCAGTGCAACCAAGGCGGTTCAGCATGCCTAGAGGCTCGTGCGCTCCGGTAGGCCACATAATGGGGATGTACTTGCATGCAACAGACACTAACTGCAACCCAAAGCACAGGTTACACCATGCCGCTGAAATGGGTAAACAGTAGGGAGAAGACAACTCATAGAGAGCATTATGTTGATCAAACCTTGAAAAGTGTAAAAGTGCAGGAGGTGAAACCGTACCTCATGTTTCATTGCATCATCTGCCGTGTTATCATCAGTTATGATAGTGGCTAGAAGGCGGAGAAGCCTGGACGGTGCATGGGAAGCATCGAGGACAGTGTGGTATCAACTAAGAACTCACATTTCGGCAAAGATCTTAGATTTCTAAGAATTCAAGCTTCTCTAGTTAGCTTCACACTATTGTGATAAGTATGAGAGAGACAGGAACTAACATTGAGGCTGTTTCTAACTCGAGCGTCTGACGTGGAGGAGGATCCGGCTCTCTCAGGCCATCCAGGGGGGCCAAGGCAGCAGTGGCATTGACGCTATCCCCGTGCTTTGCTTCGACACATTCCAACTTGGGCAGGAAAAGCCGGAGCAACCGCGCTGCTGCAGGCACGATACTGGTGGTGGCGAATCGTATCTTTGTCTCCGGCACCCTAATCAACAAAGGCGAGCCCACAAGCTCCGCTTAGTGAGGGAAAGGCTCTTGTTGTGAGAGAAAGGATTGCCTTATTGGCCAGTTCACGGCTTCGTAACTCTGAATGGTAGACCGCGGGCACTGCAGAAGCGCCCTAAAGGCTGCGTGTAAAAAGCCTCCTCACGTTGCTACGCTGCAAGCTGCCACGGTGGAATTGCGCAGGAGGCGCATCTCCTGAATAAGGGAGCAACACATCGAAAACTCATCAAAGTTGGTTACTTCTCGAAGGCAATGAAGAGAAGATGCTCAGTAGAGAGAAAGGTAGTCTGAGACTGAGCGACGCTGGCCTCTTACCGGAAGGGGGAGGTGCCAAGGCACGACACAGAGAAAGGAAACGAGCTGGCTGTCTACGCCTACAAGAAGTACGCAGGCTCAGAAGGCTCTCTAGTTATGCATATCTTCCCCTTGCGTACCACTATCCATTCACCAGCCTATAGGATAAGCGGTACGGAAGCTATGGCTGCTGCAGGGCGCTATGCTGTTATTCCAATCTGTTAGAGCTGCTATGAATTTTTGGGGGGCATTCACCAGCCTCCGCGAGGATCTTTCCGCCATCATCGTAGATACAGATTGACGCCAGGAACTCCGAAGCCAAAAGCCTGCATCGTATAATGGGCCAGCTCGATCGGCCTGATCGTCATCAAGCTGTGGCTCTGCTCTGATTTGTTCAGGAGATGGCTGCATGGCCTTTTCCTCCTAATGCAGCTCCACTACAGTACAGCCCACAGCTTCATAAATCCTTGGTTCTCTTCTTATGATCAGCAAGTTCACAAGAACCCATGTCAAGGTCTGTGCAGCCTCAGTGTTATTCAGTGACAGCACTGTACAACAGAAGTACCTTATTTGTGTGCTGGAGTGGCTTATAAAAAGCTCTCCTGCGGTTCCCAATACTCCGTTCTCTAGCATCTCACTCCTCGCCGATAGACGCCCTCCAAGGCACTTTAAGATTCGAAGTGTAGTGGCTTGGACTTGCCTGTAATCCTCTCCCTGCACTGTATTCCTAACAACTGCCGGTGATTGCGCGTTTGTTCCCCCCATGTAATTCCATCTGGCCCCTCGCAAAGGAGTTTCAGAAAGGCAGCTGTGCAAGGATACTCCTTTAAGCGAATTACAATTCTCTGCGCTGTGGATCTCCTTGGGAGCACGCTCCTGTGAAGGGCTGCATTTTTCATGAGGCTCGACTGAGGAGCTTTCGAATCGGTAACGAGCAGAGGCACACGGCTTCAGTAGACGGTGAATTGTAGAGACCACGCCCAACTCGATCGCTTGAATCAAGAGTTCCTGCCGTCGTGCCAAATCATCCCTTGCTATAGCTTCTTTATCCAATCCCATAAAGGCAAGAGCCAGAAACACAACGCTACTTTATGCGAGTTACACGGCCATATTGGCGCCTTTAAAACCATTTACATGCTGTCCCCTAGGCCTGCTACCCACCAGACACATCTTTACCAGCGAATCTGCCTCGTAAAATACACACTAGTTAAACACCTTTCGAAGAGCTAAGCAGACACTTGGCTACGGCTACACCTATTTGTTTTATGCTTGCGTAAACCAGGCATCGGTTCTGGTGAAAGATAGTGAGTGGGCACGCAACCTTAATGTGGGGAAGAATTACGGACAGGGTCAACAATACATTCCTCTAGGCATAGTAGGGCTTCAAGTAAACTGCTTTGCGGCCGGTTGGCTGCCTTTTGGATTTGTGAAATGAGACGGGGGATGCAGCGATTGCCAAGCCTGCGGAACAAGAGGAAGCACTTGTCTTGCCTCAAAGGACAGGTTCTGATCTTCCGGGTTGTCCTTTGAGGGGCCTCGTATGCAAAGCAACATTAGGATATACCAGTAGCAAACAGCCCTAAAGAGCGACGTTCTTAACCCCAACGGAGGACATGCGATACTACTTTCGGCCTTACAGACACCCCTGTTAATTCTGTGATACATTATTCCTGGATGCCAACCTAGGCCGGCTTATCTGTGGCGTGAACCAGCTGTTTTTTTCCCTCACGCGATTGTGACCTGGTCCTCAGAACAGCCACTTTGCGTTTCGCTGTAGAATGGGTAATTGGCCGCAAGTTGCTGACTAACGATATGCCGGTGATATCCCAAAAGGCGAAAGGGATCACTGGTTTCACTCGCTGTCATTTTGCCTTTTATTATGCTGTTTACACTGCTTACAAACAGAGAGCACAAGTTCACGAAGCAGCGGGAGAGCCATGCTCGACACAGCGGAAGTACGGATGACCGCGGTCGAGTGCTACGCGCTGCAGCTTCAGCGAAGGCAAATCCAAATGTGATAATCAGTTTACATTCAGTAATAAATTAACCGTTCCTTTAGAGAAGAACCTCCTGCCAGCTGAATCAGATAGTGGGACTGCCGCCGATTGAGAGGACACTTTGGAATTGCAGGCTTGTGATCACTGCCAACCAACAGAATGCAACAGTGATCAAAAAGTATCGATACTTCGTTGCGGGCTTTATAAATCCATATCGTTTTCTGCTGCGCAACTGGAGTAAAGTGCCTACTTGGGAAGCTCACTCTTGAAATATGCCTAGCAGTGCATACGAGAAAGGCAATGCGAGCGCCGCGCTGTGAAGCAAGAGACGTCAGCACCATTTCTCAGATGGTTGCAACAAAACAAGTTTGATAAGTCTTCCCTGCCGTATGAATTCCACGCAGTTTGCGACCTACACTCTGTACGGTTGTACACCATCCCTATCGACTAGAAGTTGTACATCTGAAAACAGCTGCCATCTACTAATAAGAAGTGCCAGCCCTAATTGCAATTCCGAGCTCTACTTCATGTTTTAATTATGTTTTCCGGCATTGGAAAATATGCCTGCTGCATCTGCGCTCTGTACCTATGGGAAGGTCACCAGCTACGTGGACCTGTATCGGAAGGGCTACGCTTCAATGAGTATTCATGCCAAGCCCTTCAAAGTATTGCTGCACGCCTGACAACAACGGAAATCGCCATTCTCCGATAATAAAAATAAACGCCAAGGCAGGCGGGCATTCTCGTACGGCCTTCTAAACCTCATGTAGCAGGTACTCGGGGTAAAGGTATAATGCCAAAGGACTCCTAGAGCATGAAACGATCCTCTGCTCCCAATTCATCTAAGCGCCTGGCCTTTAGGCGCCACTTGAACTTTCCATCTACCTGGTGCCGCCAGGGCATCAGCAGCACCAGCTGTGCCGGTGGCCCTTCCCAGGAGGATGGAGGGTTTTGCTGTTTTCCCTCAGAGCTGCGCAAGGCTAAAGCAGCTCGCATATTCTCCTGTGCTTGCATCAGCAGCTGGAGGCAGCGCCCACACGGGTGGCAGGGGCCTTGAGACATCGTTGTGCAAATGACAACGGCCTTAAGAATCCGCTTCCTGCCTAACGCCGCTGCGGCTCCGATAGCACTCTGCTCAGCGCAGCAGCTGCGAATACGCAGTGAAAAGGGGGCGCATGCATTTAAATAGTTCTATGCACTTTTGCACGAGGCGCCTTGTTTTAAGCAAGCATAGAAACTAGGGTTTTGTCTGCGGAAGGGAACGAATATGCAGAGGAGAGGGTGAGAAGGGAAGGAAGTAGAGAAGCTATACCCAATGCCTAGGGCACTTGTCTCTGCGTTTGCGCCAGTAACAATGCCGTCCTCTGTGAGAAGCGCGCAGCCCACAGAGACACCCGAGTTCCAGCAGCAGCTGCCTTCTGCTGCTTTTGCTGCTGCTTCAAAGAGCTCTACAGTCGGCGGATCTGCCAGTTGCCCTGTCAGATCTGCAGCAGCACAGTATATGGCAGCAGACAGGCCACAGGGATAAAACGATTACGGTTGCAACTTGGCCTGTGTGTCGGTGTGTTAACCAATAGCCGCTACGGAAACCTCCCTCTTAGTGTATCAAAGCTGCTGGTGTTACCAAATATGCCAATGCGAGGCGTCTGCTGCAAAAACGCCTCGATAGACCGACGCCATATGAATGTAGGCATTAGTTTCATAACCAGAAATGCATTGCAAACAGTAAAAAGCACGGGCCACACTTCATAATATCGAATGGTAGGCGGATCTAGAAAGAATTGCGTGTGGACACGTATTCATAGAAACGTGGGGCGGCTGCATAGAGCTTGACACAACAGACGCCCTTACAGTGACGATTGTTTTTATACGTATACTGGGTACATATTTAGGATATGCGCAATGAGCTTGCTTGTTAAAGCGTGGAAGCATGCGTGCCCCTTCGGGTTTGGTGAGGCGGGGAAGAGGGGAGGAGCTTACCGTCTTCTAGTTCAATTTCCCCGATTGCTAGTGGAGAGGACCTCTGGCAGGGGAGGGGCGGCAGGGGCAGTCTCTGGCCCAACGGCAACAAGTCGGAGAGTTTATGTGCTGTCGTGCTTGCTGCGTTGGGGTTTTCGTTGCCTTGCACAACTGCACAGTGTATGTACACCTCGTGCGGATGCGCGTACTCGCACAGCCACTGCAAGCAGCACCCCTTTAGAGGGAACCCTCCTTCTTTGTCTCCCTCCGAGACTAACGAAACCACGGCGCATGCCGCCACCTGCGTCCGAAAACGCCATATTCTGTACGGGGCTTCATTATGTCAAATGCCGCCGCAGGCATGAGTGTGGACGGCTTGGAGGGTGAGGGGATCGCCATGAGGGTAGGCAGGGACGGAAAATTGAAAGCAAAGTACCAGCGCCCTTCCCTTGGTTGCCGCTTGGGAGACAGCAACATGAGCCGCACAAATGCTGCAAGGGAAGGCAGCAGAATCGAAGGTGCAGCCTGAATTCCGCAGTTTAAATACACCACCATTGCTTCCATGACGGCCGGAGGATCGAACCTCTGCTTTGTGTCCGGCCCGCTTTCTCTATCTATTCCCTACAAGTAGGAAAAAGAGGGAGTGGCGCCATTGCAGGAGTCTGCTTATCCCGCTATTGCGCTTGTCCTAGCTATGGACCCCTGTAGATTTGAGTCTGCTTATTTGCGCCTGTGCCAGCTATGTACCCCTGTAGATTTTGCCATCTGTGCCGTAGACGCTGACCCCCGTGCGCTGCTTCGAGTAGGAGGCAAAGGCGTTGTGTGCACTCTCGAAGGCGGCTTCCATCAAAGCCGACCGCCTTTCCTCGAGATATGCCCTATCTGGCTCCATTTCGGTCGCTCTGAACCTCGTGAAGCGTATTCGAAAACTGTACACCTGCAGTGATACGCGTTCGTTCGGATTTGTGAGCGACGCTGTCGCGCGAAGAAAGCTGTAGCCTCCGGAAATCCACACAGTTTTTCTTGAGCGCCCCTGCAATAGGCGCTGAGTCGCAGCTTCTCACAAGAGTCACCGCATAGCTTCTTTCTGCGAAAAAAACCTTTTTCCCGGCTCGCCACCGGCGCGTGCCGAAGAAAACAGCGGCGTAGAAGCCCCTCCACACCAAAACAGCAGTTTCTCAGCGGCGCGAAAGCGCCTTGTTACTGCTGCTTGTGCTTGCTGTTAATTCCCGGTAAGACTCTGCTTCGTGTCCACGCGCTGCAAGTACGCGAGCATCTACCCCCCTACCCGCAGCTGTCGGCGGCAGGTTCAACAACGCTCTATCGACTGGCACCGCGGAATCCGACGGGAAAGCTACGATATGAGGCCATCTTAAAGAATTGAATCCTCTCTATATGGCTCAAATAAACGTTATTTATGAGCAGACAACATGTTGCGGTTGCTGCTAACACCGTAGCGGCTGGTCCTGCGGTCGGTCTGTACCGCATGCCCGCCTTCAGCAGCGCTGCGGCACTCTAGGCGGCGCAAGCGGTTGTAGATTCTTCCTTGTCATGAAGGTGTGTTTAAAATCCTTTCTCTGTCTCTCTTTCTTGTCTCAGAGGCGGGGGAAGCCACTGACGTCGCTGCTGAGTGCGAACACTTGCAACGCCACGCCTCTCTATCCAGACAGCCCTAAAGCGGACTAATGAGCTGCAGCAGCAAAAGGGATAACAGGGGCGCTATCAGGCAGCAGCAGCAGCAGACGCAGCCGGGAGCGTAGTAGGCTCAGGTTTTCAGTGCTCTTGCGATGGGTAGCTGCAACACGGGCTCACAGCAGCTCTAGCAGTACTGCAGCTCAGCGGCAGCAAGACACACGGGATACAGCAGCAGCAAGACACACGCAATACAGCAGAATCAGAGCGAGAGATACAGAGAGAGAGAGAGAGAGAAAGAAAGCAGGGAGATCAGAGCGAAGCCTCTTCGTGCGTGCTGCCTCTGAGAGCCACGTGTCTCTCTTGCATTCCGCCACCATGCTGTACCAATCCGGATCTTTGCAGGCTCTCATTAAGGGCCTGCGATCGGCTCAGCAGCAGCAGCAGGAAGCCGAATTTATTGCCAGCAGTCTGCAGCAGGTTAAGAATGAGCTCTCGGCTTCAAGCGGGAGCAGAAACAGCGGCAGCAGCAGCAGCGCAGCAGCGGCCACACGGAGTGTTGCATTGCAGAAGCTAGTTTTTTTGCAGATGCTTGGTGTGGACCTTTCTTTTGCTGCTTTTTCTATCATCGAAGGCATGGCTGCCCACAAGTATTCGCTGAAACGTCCTGCGTATGCAGCAGCGAGCATCGCCTTTGCTGGAGGTGGCGTGGCTCCCCCTGCACTCGAAGACGCAATCAGCAACGGCAAGAGCAAGCAACAACAGCAGAAACAACAACAACAGTGGCCGCTAGCCGAGCTCTCCCTGTTGACTATCAACCTGTTTAAAAAAGACCTGAGCAGCAGTCAGATGTTTGAGACGGGTAAGCTTTTCGTGAGTTGTAGCATCTTGATTTTCTTGCAAGCTCTGCCAATCTAGCTTTTTCTTTTCTCTCTCTCTCTCTATTCGAGCTTGATTTTCAGTCCTTCTGTGTGCCTTTTCCGCATGTGCATCAATATATACATATATATACATGTATATTACCGTGTATTTTACACTTTGTGAATTTCTCCGCCTTGCATTGCGTCTTCTAAGCTCTTCCTTTTTACCAGTTTATTTGCGCTCTTCCTCTGCTTTGTTGGTGTGTGTAAGTAGCCTCTCGCCAGGTGGCGATGGCCATCCGATGGCGTGGCTTTTTTCTCGTTCGAATCCCCTCTTTTCTGTGCTTGCTGCCTTTGCGTAATGGGTTGAATGGTGCTACACATGGTGGGCGGCTGCGAATGCTGCTGCTGCAGGCCTTGCGTTGCAGACTCTCTGTTGCGTCTCTCTGTCCAAAGAGATGGTTGGGGCTTTGTTGCCAGACGTGCTGATGCTGCTGAGTTCATCGCGTCCGTATATCCGGAAGAAGGCTGCGCTGTGCTGCAGCTGCTTTCTGCTGCAGCAATTGCGTGAGCTGCAGCAGATGCAGCAGCGTAAGATGCAGCAGCGGCTGCGTCTGCCGTATGCAGGCACCGCTGCTGCAGAGGAAGAAGGCGACACCGCAGTGCTACAGCAGGTGGTGCAGCGCATGCAGCAGCAGCTGATGCAAGAGCAGGATGTGGGAGTACTCTGCTGTCTTGCGACCTCGCTGTTGCAGGCAGCAGCGGTGGACCCCCACCCCTTTCTCCCCCTAGTGCCTCCTCTTTTCCATTTGCTGTGCAGCAGCAACAGCAATTGGTTCAGTATTAAGCTTCTGCAGCTGTTCTTGTTGCTCTCCGCTGTTGAGCCGCGGCTTCCCCAGAAGCTCCTTCGTCCCCTAGCCACGTTGCTGCAGCAAACAAAAGCGAAAAGCGTTGAGGTAGAGGCGATTCGCCTCGCTCTCTTCTACGCCCCCATAGAAACTGCAGCGACTGCTGCAGCTGCCTCAGCTAGCCAGGTTGCGACTGCAGAGCAAGCAGCGGCAGCAGCCATGACTAAAGACGCAACCACCGCAAATGCGAATGTCAGGACTGCCAGTGACAGTGGGGGGGGACTAGAGCAACAGCTCTTGCAGCTCGTTTGCAGGAAGCTGCATGCGCTGGTGACGTCTCCCGACCCTAATGTTCGTTTTGTGGCTTTAGACGTGCTGAAACAGACGTTCCTGAGGCGGAGACAGCTTGTGCAGCCTCTGTTGCAGTTGCTGCCAGATCTGCAGCAGCACATGCTGCAGGTGCGTATGAATCCCGTTGCAGCTGCAGCTCTTTTCCCAATTTTCCCTGGTTTTATGGGGCGGAGGGGGTAAAGAGAAAGGAGTTAAGAGTATGGGAGTAATGAGTAAGGGAGTAAGAGAGTAATGAGAAGAGACACAAGGTCTTGTCTTCATGCAGAGATCCGGCGGCTCTGCGCTAGAGGCACTTGTACTACGCCTGAAAAGTCGCTTAGCCGCACTAATTGCTGCTGCTGCTGCTGCTGCTGCTCCTGCAGCAGCAGCAATTACTGCATGCTTTTCGATGGCTGCGGCAGTGACACGATAGAGTCTGTCTGTCTGTCTGTATGCAGAGCGCCAAGTCTCTGGATCCCACTGTACGAAGGGTGGGAGTTTCTCTGCTGGCGACTGCTGCCTCCCCCGCAACCTTTCCTGTTGTCTGCGAGAGGCTGCTTGCGGCTGCCTTCGAAGCAGGGAGCAGCAGCAGTGGCCGCAAGTCTTCGCCTTCATCAGGCAGCTCTGCCACGGGAAATTCAGCAGCTTCCTTCGTTAGCTCCGCTGATTTTATTCTTCCAGTCGTGCAGATGGCCTATGAGTGCGGCGCATGCACTTCTGCACGTCTCCCCTGATATTATTACCGCATGCACAGGCTCGTGTCGGTACACTGCAGTGCGCTGCCTTTGTGTAGTGATGTTTTGGTTTAGGATTAATTCGATGTTTCGTGTTTCGTCTTGTGTTTCGTCTTGTGTTTCGTTTTATGTTTTGTTTTATGTTTTATTTTGTGTTTCGTTTTATGTTTCGTCTTGTGTTTCGTCTTGTGTTTTGTTTTATGTTTTATTTTGTGTTTCGTTTTATGTTTCGTTTCATGTTTAATGTTTTGCTCTTTTTGGTCTGTGTTTTGTTCTATGTTTTGTGTTTTATGTTTGGCTTCATGATTCGTTTTATGTTTGGTTTCGTGTTTTGCTCTGTGTTTTCTTCTGTGTTTTTTGTTTCATGTTTTGTTTCATGTTTTCTTTTTGTCTCCGACACCGCTGCTCCTGCTTTGATTGGGGATTCTTTGCGGGTGTGCCTTTACGCTGCTGTTTGCTACAGGAGCGCATACGAGTTGGTGGAGGACTTTGAGTGGTACGTGGCGGTGCTTGCCGATGTAGCCTGCAACGGCAGCAGCAGCAGCAGCAGCAGCAGCAGTGACGCGCCTTTGGCTGCTGCTGTCGCCCAGCAACTTGTGGATATATCCGTCCGTGTGCCGGAGGTGAGGCCCTGCAGCACGCATCTTTGCATGCTGCTGCTGGAGGCAGCGGCTGCTGCAGCTGCGAAGCCTAAGGTGCGAGGCAGCGCCAGCAGCAGCAACAGCTTGCACTTGCTGAGGGCACTCAGACAGCAGCACCGAGAAGCACACATTAGCAGCAGTGCTCTAGGGGAAGACGACCCCGGAGCCTTCCGTAACAACAACTCCACGAGCGGTCCCAGCAGCAGCGGTACGGCCGCCGCTTCCCCAAGCCAGGTGTACATACACCCCGACATTGTCCGTGCCGCTGGCTGGATCATTGGTACGTCTATCTATATATATATATAAATATATGTATATCTTTTTATCTCTCTTTCTGTGCGTTCCATGGTATTTAGCCTCGAATTGTCATTTAGAAGCCTCTTGCCTTTTCGCCTCCTGCTCTACGTGTCGTGTCTCTTGCATTGCCGCCAGTTGGCGACCCTCTCCATCTGCAGGGACGTGCCGCAGCAGGAGCAGCGTGCACTGCCGTTCTTGCTGTGTGTCTTTACAGGGGAGTATCACCAGCAGCTGGCGAAGGGCGCCGACTACGCTACGACGGGCATCCGCTTCATTGAAGATGCTGTCTCCTGCCTTCTCACGCTGGTAAGGTCGTGTCTCACGGCCGGATCGAACTCGATCCCCAGAGCTTTCCTGCGCTCCAACTCCTACTGATTGACCTTCACGCCGCAACAGCGTCAGACGTTTCCATCGGCAGCTAGCAGCCTGCCTAACTCGCTGCACCTCAGCGGAGTCTACGGAGCCTTGCGTCGTATCGCCGCGCGGCTTAGACGCTGGACAGGCCTTCACTCCCTGAGACACTAGTGCTGCGCCTGCTGCTGCTGCTGCTGCTGCTGCTGCTGCTGCAGGCAGAGCTGCCATCTCAACGCGCCGTCGCCCAACGCGTGCTGCTGTGGGCTGCCACCAAGGCCTTCCTCACGCTGACAGCAGTTTCTAGAGGCGCATTGCGGCTGCAGCAAGAGCAGGGCTTGCAGCAGCACGCAGAAGATTCAGCTGCCGAGAGGGAGGCAGCGGCAGCAGCAGTTCAGCGTCTGAAGCCGAAAATCCAGCAGGCTACGCAGCATGCTCGAAGCAGCACCGACGCAGAAGTATGTGTTTCTTTTCTGTTTTTTGTCTCTCTGTACATGCTTGCCCCTCTCGAGTGCAGTCTGTGCATGTCTCCTCCGTGTGTTGCCTTTGTCTTCCGCGTATATCTCTTCTTGCTTGCTCCTTCCTTCCAGGCAGAGCTTCTTCTGAGACAGCTCCTCTTCTTCGCCCTGCTATTTATTCCAGAGGGGGGTAGTTTTCGAGAGAGAGAGAGAGAGACGCTTCTTTGTAGGGTGTCGCGCGAGAGGTGTCTTTGTTCGCTGTTTGCCGCAGCTCTGCTGCAGAGGCTCCCTGAGTCAGCATCTCGTCGAATTTTTTGCTGCCTCCGGAGTTTGGAATTTGGAGCTTGAGGGCCTCCTGCCTGTACAGCGAGACGCACAAGTCATGGTACGACGTCTTCCTTCTCGCCCCCCTGAATCCAAGGCTTCTGTTAAGCCTTCTGCCTTGCGTACAAAGACAGACGCAGAGCTCTGTTGCGCTAGGTCGTGTCACAAGGCAGCGGCGCGAAGGCCGGTTGCTGAGGATATCCCCGCAGAGGGCTGTGTCTGTCTGCCGTGCCTCGCGTTTGCATGCATGTCTCTAAAACTGCTGCGTGCGGCTATTTTCCCCCATTGCTGCGCCGCAGCTGCAGGTACCAGCTGAACTGGATTTGGAGAACCCTTTCCTAGACGCCGCAGCGCTGCAGCAGCAGCTCGATCTACGCCTGAGACGTCAGCAGCAGCAGCAACAGCAGCAGCAGATGGCAGCAAGCGCAGGAGCAGACGCACTACCGCAAAACAGCTCCTCCTCCTTTCTCTCCTCTTCCTCCATCCTGCTGCCGCAGCAGCACAAACAACAGCGACAGCCTCTAGAACAACAACAAGCATCCCCGTGGGCAGTCTCCGGCAAGAAGAAGTTCAGTGTCATCAAAGGGGCTATTGCACCTGGCATGCACGTTAAGGACCATGCTGCACTATCACCGACTGCTCCTCTTCCCCCCACGCCTCCCCCCCTCTATGCAGGGCATGCCGCTCGCCAGCAGCGAACTTCCCCACAAGCAGCTGCCAACGCAGCAGCTGAGACTCCGTGTGCCGTTGAGAAACGTGATCAGCAGGCTTCCCAGCAGCCGCAACAGCTCTGGTGGAGCGTCTCAGGCGGAGATTCTGCCGTGCAGCTGCTCACCTCCGATTGGCATCTTAAGCACGTTGAGGCTGAAAGGGGGTGCCTCTGTGTCTCCGTCTGCTGCTCCCCACAAAGCCTCCCCATAAGCGCAATCGACCATGTTTATTTGCGCATAAAGGCCTGCTCGGAGGCTGCTCCTGCTGCCTCTTTCTGCTTGTCTGATGTCTCCGCTACTCTCTGCGAAAAGCTCTCCGAACAGCGCAGCAACGCTGTAAAGTTGGAGGTAAAGGCCCCTTCCCAAAACTCCCTTTCGCTGCCCTTTACAGATTTCGCCGAAGAAACGGCTGCGCCACTGTCTCTCTCTAGCTGCTCCCTCCACACTGTGCTGCTACGTGCTGCTGTGTAGGTTCCTGTCTCCATCAGTGCCCTGTGGCATGCTGCTCGGGAGGCTCCAGCGGCTCTCGCTTTAAGAGGAGTTCTCCACTACTCCCTTGCTGCTGGCTCTGCTCTACTGCAGCCTTTTGACAGCCAGCAGCAGCAGCAGATAGAGCAATGTGAAGTTCCCGTCATGCTAAGAGTGCCATTTTCTGTCCTTTTACGACCCCTTCAACATACTCCCGAATCCTTGGGTATTCTGATGGCTGTAAGAAGTAGCGCCTTCCATTTGATCCTCCCCTTGCCCTTTCTGTGTGCTCACTTGTCAGGATTCAGACTGTATTCGTAGCTGCAGATCACACTACTGTGTGTCGTGGGCATCCCTTTCTACTCCCCTACGGAGTCGGATAATTTTAGGTGTTGAGCGGCAACGCATCTTTGAGATAGCATAGGTGAAGCCTGCCCTTGCACTTCCGTGATTACCTTTTTTCTGGCTTGCACGGCTGTACAATGCGCTGCAGACAAGGGGTAGCAGACTCAGCAGCCGGGGCCTGGCGTCTCTTGTCTCTCCAGTATGTGTACCAACACCAGACACCACAGGGAGGGGGATTCGCGCGAGCAAGCGGTTCTTAGAGCTGCTAGGGCAGGCAGCTAATATGCATCTGGTGGAGGTGCAGGAGTCGAATACAACTGCAGCAACTGAATGGACGCTGAAGGCGCTGTTTGTTGCGGCAGTCAGGAGCGACGTGCAACAGCAGCACCAGGATATTGTATACGTGGCGCTTGTAAGCTTATCTGCAGCAGCGGCAAGGGAGGGTGCTCTACAGATCAGTGTTGCGGTGAAGGGCGAGGCGCAAGACACAGTAACTCTTGCGGAGACATTGAAGCAGCACTTGGAAGTTATCACAAGTGCAGCCGCAAGGGGCCTCTACGTGGGCTGATATGCGCTCTAAGAGAGCCACTGGAGCGAAAAGCTTCTTCCGCTCTGTAGGTGCATGCACTGCGGAACGGGTGGGTGGTCTGTTTGTGTTGCTTGTGTCTGTCGTCTTCACGTAAGGCGTAGGACATTGCCGCCTCCTAATGCAGCTGCTGAAACATATTGAAGACTTCAGGCTCTTCTTTCGCCTCCTTTCATTACCCAGAGGCAGAGCACTCTTAGACTTTTAGTCAATCGATATGCGCGTCCGAAGACGTTGACTGCTCCAGACAGCCGTTCACCCCACACCCTCCTCCCGAGGCCGCCTGTTTGTTCCAAAGGGCGAAAAGCAAAATAGAGGATGTGAAACACGGAAATAGCCGTTCAGAGACTGCAGGTACTGTCGAGGCATCAGCCTGCAGAGGCGTAAAGAAGCTTGATGGCCAGAGGACTCGTTTCGCCCGAACTAGGACGCCTAAGCAGATTAAAGAAATTCTTTTGGGGGGTGGCGTGTAGATCGCAGACTAGACAGCTGCTTCTACTTATTCGTCCACGTTGCTTAGGGAGCGTTACTAGGCGGCACGTGCGGTTTCCGGTGTGCTATGGTGCGTTAATGCAAAAACTTTCAAAGCAGCAGCGACTGAGGACTGCTGACTCTAGCTCGTATGGGGGACTTGAATTCTGAAAGGCCACCACGGCTAAAAAATAAAACACACTCGAGGGGCATGGGAAATGAGAAAGAGGCTTTTCAAGGCTCTATGGAGCTGTCTTGTAAGGGGGACTGTTTCTGCACGGGTTTGCGATCTAGCAACGTGCGGGGGGTAGCTGCGACAGAAATAACCCCTTCTCGTGACAATTAATGCCCCGCATACAGGAAATCGTGCCCCACTTATTGAGGCTCTGTTTTTAACGTGCAAGGCTTAGATGGAAAAGCGTTCAAACAATCGCCACACCCCCTTTTTGGTGCTCGGAGGCATGGACTGCTGCCTGCGCCTACGGAAGCGAGCAGTGTTGACGGACCGCGCCACTCCGAAGGGGGCAAGCAAAACCGGTCTGCTGTCTATCTTCAAGTCGTAGTAATTCAGATTATTTTGTGGAAGTCTGAGTAACTTTAGCAGAGGGGCTTTCTTTTATTGCACAGTCATGCAGTGCCACGATTCGCCAACACATGTTCAACGTACAGGCGGACGCGCCTGGGGTATCAGTATCTCTCTCTCTCATGCCATTAGCGTCGGCTGAAGCCTGCGCGCTCTCCGATCCTGCTCGAAATTCCGTGACTTCTGTTGTTCTAGGCCCCTAGCTGAATTATTACGCAGCTTCTGCCCTTTTGGAGGTACTTCTAGAGGACGGCTTCGAGGCCCTTCCTACCAACGCCACACCCCAGTGGCGCTGCTCACCCCTGACCAGCCTGCTCCCTCGTCCTACCACCGAAAGCAGCGCTCTGCATTCTTGCAGCCATAAAAAAAGCGCTAATTGACCTGGATGCAGGTGTATTCGCCACTCTTTTCAGACACCCTTTGCTCGACTGCCCCTCAGGCGGCTCAGGTGTCCATGACGATTCTGGCTCGCGATCTTCGGACAGCAGCGTACAGTTCGCGATCTACGCCCGCAGCGTGCAGTTCGTGCGCTCGCAAGAATTAAGAGGCACAAACGATTTCAATGAGGCATAGGACGTGCCGCCTGTTTCCGTTGTGATGTCCTGCTCATGGCGATTCGCATGAGCAACAAATACAGAAAACACCTTGACTGCAGCGGCAGCAGCAGCAACAGCCGCCTACGTCCACCCCGCCTTTTGCACGCGCCTCACACTAGCAGCAGTTCCAGCCTCTTACGGGGCCTACAGGCACTCGACCAAAAGGGCTGGAGACAGCCCTCCTCCAGCACATGCATTAAAAAGCAACTCGATAAGCAACACCTGCAGCCATGAGGCAGCACGGCTGGGGAATACGGTGTGGCGCGGATCGACCTGAACCGTTCAGGCAGGCAGAAACTCACCCCAGCAAAAGCAGAAGCAAGACAAGTGTCTCGAATCCATGCCAATGCAGCTTTTTTTGTAGCGTCGTGGGGACTGGAATCAGGGGCGTTACCACAAAAGCCAGCCACGAACAGAAATATTCAACCAGAGATAATACTTTCGCAACGACTCGAAGCGTATTGTACTACGCGCCATACTCCCGCAGCAGAACCCTTTATTGCACACGCGGCTCCAAAGGCAGCAAGCACGTGCAAGGCAGAGGCAGTCTCTACAGCAATCGCCGTCCAGCATATGGCCCTGCTGGCTATGCTGACTCCGGTGTAGTGTCTGCATCTCAGCTCCCTACTGATGCTGCAAACGATGCTGCATCTGGTGCTGCAAACGATGCTCCAAATGATGTTGCAAATGATGTTGCATCCGATGTTGCATCCGATGCTGCATCTGGTGCTGCATCTGATGCTGCAATTGATGCTGCAAATGATGCTGCTACTGAGGCCCCTTCACGTGCTCGTTCGCGTGTCGCTGGCAGTGATCGCAGTAATGAAGTTTCTAGCGGAAGACTGCGGCACAAAGGCGAAGAGGCACGGCTGCAAAGGCGTCAACGAAATACTGCGACCTCATCGAGTGTATCCGTGGCTCCCGCTAGCTCTCCTGAAGCGGCAAGGCCAAGGCTGCGACGCCGTGCTGCATCTGCTGCTGCTGCTCTGCGAATTGGAGAATTTGCAAGAGCTGCAAGCAGAAAGCGTTCAGCTGCTGCCCCTGCAGCACGGGCTCCTCTCCCTGTGACGGATGCGTCGACTGCCTCGTGGCTTCGTCTGTCTGATACATCTTCTGCAGCTTCCTTTGCACGGCGAAGACCTCAAACTACAGCCTTTTCGAGCCGCAAGATGCCGCAGGATTCTAAAACGGGTGCTGTCGGCGTCGCAGGTGTATCGACAGCAGCTGCCCCGCGCAAAAAGCGGCTGAATCCGAAGTCGTGCTGCTGGATGCGCTACTTGCACGTTTGCATTTCTGCTTGGAGCTGCTAATTGTATTTGGGAGCTCATGCATGCCGCCGTTTCGGGAAGGCGGAGAACTGTTGTTGTTGTCGGGGGTGTCTTCTGGTGGAGAGGTCAGCTGTTCGTGCGGTTGCCTTGCACATCGCGCAGCGTTTTTTCTGGGACTGCTTTCTTTCTGCTCAGATCAAGCGAGTAGACGTCCATCGATTCCTTTGCAGAAGTGGGCGCCACATGTGCCTTTTGCTGCCTTTTTTGAAGCTGCGCATGCAGACCTTTAGCTGCTGCTTGAGCTCCGTGTGTGCTGCTTGAGCTGGCTGGTCGCTCCCCCCAACACGCTGCTGCTGGTGTTTCCGCAGGACCTGCAGCTACCCCTGCCTGTTGATTTCTTGGCTTGCCGTTTGGTTGACTGGCTTCTGCAGATACTTTCGAGTAGACACAAGGCGTATTTCCCTCTCTGGAGTGCGAGAAACGCGGCAGATCGATGGTTTAATCCCCTTTCTGCTGGAGAATTTCCCACGCTCTGGCGCTGTTGGTTCTGCGGCGAGAGATGACGGCCTCGCCCGCGGCGCAAGAAGGACTGCCGCACAGCAGCAGCAGCAGCTACAGCAGCAGCAGCAGCAGCAGCAGCATACATCCAGCAGCTCCGACAGCACTGAGAGTGACGGGGAGGGGTGGTATGAGGAGGGAACACGCACTGCGGTGTCTTTGTGTGTAGATGACATGCGTCAAGATCCTTTTGTCTGCTTGTTGCGGCAGCTGCAACAGTTGAAGCAGCAAGGCTTCCCCAAGCTGCGACATCTGCAGCTCGACCTCGTAGGCATCGACTGGAAGCCACATGTCCTCTCCTTGCTGCAGTGCGTTTTGCCACGTTTCACCGCTGCTCGTCTTTCTAAGCGCATGCTGTTAAAAGCTTCTCTGCGGCTCCTTTGCCTTCGCGTTCAGCAATAGCAGCAAAATAGACACTTCTTCCTGCCTGGAGAGGGCAGCAGCTTTAGCTCTCGCGGCTGCTTCTTTCTTCCTGTCTGTCTCTCTCTGTCTCTCTCTCTCTGTCTCTCTCTCTCCCTCTCTCTGTCTCTTTCGACGGAGTGTAATCCCGCCTTGTGCTTCCTGCGGCTGGCATGGGTGCTGCTGCTGCAGACATATTCTACAGCAGCAAGGGCGAAAGCTGCAAAGTGTTTGCCTCCGCTGCCGTCTGCCGAGTGCTGCGATGGCGACGCTGTTGCTCGCCATACCCAGCAGCGTGCGCTGTCTCAACATCTCTGAAAACACGTAGGGATGCCTCGCCGACTAGGGAGCTCTAAGAGAAGGCCACTATATAAGGAGGGAGTGACGCACTAGTCAGCGGAGGAAGGGCAAAAGTGGCTTTAGAGGGGGTTGGGATAGGCAGAAAGAGAAAGGGAGTTTGCTGGCCTTTTTCATGCAGATGCGTAGCAGCATCACCATGCCATCAAGGGCCTGTATCCAACCATGGCGGCAGAGGAGGCAAAAATTTCCGGGTGCTTTTTTTGAGGCTTTTTGAGAGAAAAAACGAGAGAGATCGTCTTGGCCAGAAGGCTCCTAAAGAACATGCCATACGCATATTTTGTTTGACTGCGTATGTGTTGTTTTTTGTTTGTGCCGTGTTGGCAGCCTCGAGGCAGACGCTGTGGAGGCACTTCTGTCAGTGCTGAGAGAAGGGCATCTGCGATGCCTTCGCGCGTCGAACGCTGATCTCTCTGTGACTTCCCAGAAAGCCATCGTGGGGAGTCTCGAGACAGCCGGTTGCAGAAGCTCTTTGATTTGGTTTGAAGGTGGGCAGCAGAGAAGGAGAGAGTGAAAAAGAGAGAGAGGATCGGGGAAGAGAGATAGAGAAAGAGATAGATATATATAGAGAGAGAAAGAGAGATTGATAGACAGAGAGAGAGAGAAAGAAAGATTCCCTAGGCCCCTTCCTTTGAACCCCTTGGTGTCAGCGTCTTGACACGTAGCATGCCTCTTGGTACCGAGTCTGACTGCACTAGTAGCAGTGCCAAAGGCGCGGTGTGTTGCATGTGCGAGGAAATAAGACGCCTCTCACCCTCTCTCGTTGCTCGCTGTAGTAGCGGGGAGGGAGGGATGGTGAGAGGCGTCCATCTGTCTATGGTGCAGAGCAGCTGCTTGCTCTCCTGTTCTCCTGTTCTCTCTCGCTGCCACGGAAAGCCTTTCGCACATGCAGCGAGTGCTCTTCTGTTTGCTTTTAGGATTTTATTCGGCGTTTAGATCCGATGCCTCAGCCTGCCCTGTAGAACTCCCCCGTGCCGTGAAAAGGAGTCACCCCGTTGCTTGAGTGTGCTCTGCTGCCCTACTTTCTGCCGCGCAATTTTTCCCTCCTGTGTCGCTGCCTCAGGATTCGACTTAACAGCTCACTCTCGCATCCCCCCCTCCTGCTACATGGCACTTAAGCCGCAACACGTCCCCTACAGCAGCGCCACTGCGGGGATTCGCTGCCCTTCGCACTTGCCTCTTACCTCCCGGAGCTCTGCTGCAACGGCAGCAAAACTAGCAGCTACCTTCAGGCAAGCGCC